ACCAGGCCTAGTAAATAGACATACTCTTAAATATTTGATTTGAGTTGCCCTCTTTTAGGATGTATATTTACACTGTGATCGCTAATACTCAGATGTTATTAGGTTCTTGTGGGTTTTTTCGGGCTATAGAAATGAACTCAGATGTTATCTTTGTCAGACAGTGAGATTTCCTTCTTATAAATTATTTTTCCCCTTTATATTGTAGCTTTATTCCTACTGTGTCTACTGTCTAGACTTGTCCTTTCCACAGTGGATTTTAGATTATTATAACTTGCATTGTTCATATTAGAACATCTAAAAATGGAAGAAGGTATTGTGAAATTATAGTTGTCTAAAGTTTTAGGAGAAGTTAGAAGCTTAAAAGTTATTCAGTTGGTAAAAGTTAACAAATGCTGTTTGGTTCTACCTAAGTACAATTTATTCAGTGCATATTCACTCATGATCAACACAAATGAAAATAAAAATTATAAAGATATTGCTTTCTTTTTTTCTAATCAAAATAGATCCTTTTTTCGATTTCATTTTTTTTAAAAAAAAAAATTCTTTATTTAAACCAGGTAGTAAATGCATAATTTTTGTGGTTCCAAATTTGAACAAAATTTCTGAAGCAGTCATACAGTACAGATTACTTTGGAGCAATGTCTATTAACTATTATGTGACTTCTGAATAAATATGTATAAAGCTGCCACACAACCCATCTCTTCCCAAGCTGGTGCCACCCAGAAGCAGTGAACGATAACTCCCTTCATCCCATTCAACGTAGCTGTGTGTCTCTCACTCAAGCAGATTTTCTTTTTGTTTTCCTTCCTCCTTCAACTCTTCAAAAGCTTTTGTTAAATTTTAGGGGGATTTCCTGAACATACTGGATTATGTTACTGTTGGGTGCAAGCCCCAGCTTAACTCAATGAATCTTGCATAAGCAGAGGCCTAATTTCCATTATTTTTTTCTGCTTGTAGAATATCCTAGGTTCTTGCTTGCTAGAACCGCCCTTCTTTCCATTGCTAAAATGGGAGGGGGGGGCAAGAACCACAAAAGGGTGGCTAACCCCTGATTCTCCTCAGGTAGATCAGGCTAGGATGGAGCCCCCAAGCAGCTAACACAGTTATGCTCAAATTTGCAGTAGATCTTTTGGCATTTCCTGTAGTTGGAGACTTTCTTGGTAAAGTCTCTCCTACTTCTCCATTTTGTGACATAGGTACTTCACCTTGTGCTCCTCCTCATTTGGGGTTTTTTGCAGGAAGAACATATGCACACAGGATCCGCTCACTGGTTTTCTAAAGGAGGTAAATACTTTGTGGATCCTCATTATCACTGTTGGATATAATGCAGGATCCCCCTCCTGCAAGTCCTTCAATGGATCATACTAACTAGCATCCCAATGCTGAGTGATCCCCCACTTCCCTCCCCCATAGGGCCCGTGGAGATGTTCTGCCACTTTCCAATACCCCCTTCCTCTGCTCATGCTGCCTGGCTCACTTTGTGTTTTTGACTAGCTCAGTTCTCCCAACCCAGAATTTTAGGGGGCTACCTCAGATGTTAATAAAGTTTGTAGATTTGTTCTTTCCAGCTGCTATTTGGTTCATGGGTATTTTCCCATGGCATGGATGCTCTTGCTGATTTATTTGAAATTTCATTGGTTTACGGTTTTGACCAGATGTTTTGATAAAGTCCCTGCAGTACCACATTGCTGTACGGGTCAGTTTCTTGAACCTGCCTGGATATAGCTATCTTCTGGGAAGGATGTGTTGGTCTTTTCTCTGGTTGGTCAGCTGCTTCTGCACATTATAGTTGCTTCAGAGCCTTTGGGGAATGCTTATGGGTGTGACGACGATACAAAAATTATTTAAATACATGCAATGTTGCCCCACCATGGAGCATCAATGGGAATCCCCAGAAAAGTCTGAGTACCCATGCTTCCACCTTGAGGTTTTGTTTTTGTTTGATAGTTGGGAAACTGACCCACACTTGGATACATTTCCCGCTATTTTGTCTGTATTACTTACAGAAGATTAATAGAGAAGTTAAGCAGTAAATTTCAAAATGTGTCTAGTTTTGTATTTAGTGCATAAGAAGAATGTATTGTGTTATAGTTCCTTGTATTTAATAAGTCATTGGCAGCCATATTGAATGGAAGCCAAATATTTGTGTTATTAAGCACTTAAAAATATGCCCAAATTACACCACACACCAAGAGGAACCGTATTCAATCTATCCTGTCAAGATATGGGAGATAGTTGTCTGCCTTTTTCCTCTGCTGTTACTATTGATGAACTGACAGGCCTGTTGTTCCTTGTTCTAATTTCAGGTCCAGTTTTCTTGGTTATTTTTTGCTGGAGCAATTCCTGTGTTTTTTTCATTTTTCATTGCAACGCTGTTATGCCACTACAACAACTGGGATCCAGTAATGGTGGGAATTAGAAGAGTTTTTGTATTCATTTGCCGAAAACATCGCATTCAGAGGTGATATAACTTCTTTCAGTTCCCTATTCTACCTCCATTCCATCTGATTGGAAGATTTCAAGTCACTTGTCTTAAATTTCGTAGGATTGTCTGAAGCAGGAAATTCTCAGAGATTTCATACAATTACCTTTCTCTGAAATATAGCACCCACCAACTGGTATTCCTTGGTGGTCTCCCAACCAGGTACAAACCAAGATTGACCCTGCTTGTCTTCCAAGATCAGATAGGATCTGGAGCCTTCAAACTATTTAGGCCTCCATTTAATGTTTATCTATACTAACTCTAACTTTCCCCATAGATTTTACCCATAGCATTAAATTTATGAGGTTTGATGGAGTGGAAGTGGTAGGATTCTTTGGTGGGTGTGACAATGTACTCCTGGAGTTTGTGATACAGATGAAAGGCGAAACTAAGACATCAGACATGCATTCTAGATTTTAGGAGAGCTGACTTCAGAAAATTTAGAGAAATACTGAATGTGATCCCATGGAAAAGAATGCTAAAAGAGAAGGGAGATAATGATAGGTGGGAGTTTTTAAAAGTGAGATACTGAAGGCACAAATGCAAACAGTGCCAACAAGGAGAAAAAATAAGAGAAGTCTAAAGAAAGCAGAATAGATGTCCAAGGAAATTTCAACTGAGCTTCTCGGCCTTTTGGCTAAGATCATGTGTAACTGAGCTAAGATTTAAAAGGAGCAAATGCAAGAAATAGAAAAGGCAAGAAATCACTGAAGAGGGAAAGGTCTGAAAGAGTTACAACTTGATAGATGCAGGGAATGCTGTGAATGTAGCATATCTCGATTTCATTAAGGCATTTGACAAGGTCCTCCATGATCTTGCAAACAAACGAGTAAAATGTGGGCTAGATAATGGTACTGTTAGGTGGATTTGTAATTGATTAAGCGACCAAACCCAGCAGGTGCTCACCATCAAAGTGACTAGTGGAACTAAGTGACTAGTGGGATGTCACAGGATTCTGTTGTGGCCCCAGTTCTGTTCAACATCTTTATTAATGGCTTGGATGAAGGTTTAGATGGCCTGCTTATCAAGTTTGCAGATAGCAACTAATTAGGAGCAATAGCTAATATTCCAGAAGAAAGGATCAGAATTCAAAATTACTTCAACAGATTATAGAGAGTTGGACCTAAACTAACAAAATCAGTTTCAACAAGAAAAAATGTAGGATACTTCACTTAAGCAGAAAAATTGAAATGAACAGATATAGTATGGGTGACGCCTGACTCAACAACAGTCCATGTCAGAAAGATCATGGAGTCTTAGTGGACAACAAGTTGAACATGAGCCAACAGTGTGATGCAGCAGTTTAAAAATCCAAAAGGATTTTGGGCTGCATCAAAAGGAGTGTAGTGTCTAGATCAAGAGGAAGTCATAGTGCCTCTATTCAGCTTTGGTTAGACCTCACCTAGAATACTGGGTCCAATTCCGGGCACCACAGTTTAAGAGAAGTATTGACAAGCTGGAATGTGTGCAAAGGAGGGCAACTAGAATGAGCAAAGGTCTTGAGACCATACCCTATGAGAGGTGTCTTAAAGAGCTGGGGATGTTTAGCCTGCAGAAGAGAGAATTGAGAGGAGACAAGTTTAAATATCTGAAAGGATGTCATAAGGGAGAGGGAGCAGAGTTGTTTTCTGCTGCCTCAGAGACTAGGACATAGAGGAATGAGTTCAAATTACAGGAAATGGAGATTCTCCCTGAACATTAGGAAAAATTTCCTGGCCATAAGAGCTGTTCAGCAGCAGAACTCTCTGCCTCAGAGTTTAGTGGAGGCTCCTTCCTTGAAGGCTTTTAAGCAGAGGTTGGATGGTCATCTTTTGGGGATGGTTTGATTGTGCTTTTCCTGCATAGCAGGGAGTTGGACCAGATGGCCCATGTGGTCTCTTCCAGCTCTATGATTCTGTGATGATCCGGTTTGAGATGAGCTGTGGAATATAGCCTTCCTGAATTGTGCTCCCAATTTTTAAAGTTTAGATTTCCTATTGTCCAACATATTTCTAATAATAATTCTGGTATGATGAAAGGGTCTTTCTTTGACATTGTTTTCTATAATTCTTTTTTGGTCATTTGTTTGCTTTACAGCCAAGAGACCTAAAATAAAAACAGCATAAAGATAGAAGTGCTCAGAATTGTTTTTTGGTTTTTTGGTTTTTTGGTTTCTTATAGATTCCAGAGATAATTCTTTTTATACAGGAGAATCTTTCATAGAAACTTAAATTCATTTCTGTCCTAAAAGCATAGTTTACACTGTTTCCATGAAACTGTGCATATATTATTAAAAATAATTATTTGCAATACTCATTTCATTTCATAGATCATCTGAAGAAAATGAGCAATGTGAAAGTCTTATTGCAATGCACAATGTTTCTCAAGAAGATGGAGAAAGTGGTTGTCCTTAGGCAACAGGTATGTATGAATAGACTTGTGGTGTGAAAGAAAAACTTGCAAAGCTACCAAAATGGAGTGACACCCTTCCCCTCAATCTTATTTGCTATCTGTCGTTGATTATATATGCCAGCTAAATGTCTGTACAGGAGCAGTTTAGAGAACTATGTGAATTACTGCTTACCTTGGTTTCTGTTTTTAAATTTTAAATTTTCAATATCTGAGTTATTTTTATAATTTAGTCACAATGATTCAGAATGGTAGCAACTCTTGAAAATATGCTTGTCTAACAGTCATACAACACCATAAATCTGTTCTCCACTTCTTTCTATTATGTCTAAAATCTTTTAAAGGGTGCTGTGCACCATAGCCTCCACACTATTTAATCTTCCGTAACATGACTAGTTTACATAGATTAGGAAGCCTAGTCAAAGGAAAGCAGATTGTAATATGGTAATGCTAATAATATTTTTTCCCATTTCTTCATAGCGCATAAGATGGATTGATAACTCAGCGAAGAGACAATCTCCTGGAGAGTCCTTATGGAATCATGTTTCAGTGCCTCTTCTGAATCTTTAAATGTTTCAGTTCTTTTGAAACTTAAAATATACTCTCATTCTCTCTATTCCCAATCTCCAATCGGTTTTATTAAAGAGCTTCATTACTGCAGGAAATTCCAGTCTCTTTACAAAGCCAGCCTGCCTTACAGAACTCAGCTGGTGAAATTACTTGATGCAATCAAGAAAGTGAATGCTGTTCTAGTGACATTTTAAAGCTTTCCTATTTTTGTTAAGTGCTGGATATTTTTACAAATACTTTTCAAAATCTGTAAAAAAAAGTGTGAATCATAATTTTGTACAAACTTTAAAATGAAAATCTAAAATGTACTAGAAACTTGTAAAAATCACCATTGTATGCTGTATAGTCTATTTGAAAAATAACAAAAGGAAAGAAAATTATTTTAATTTATTGAATAACTTCACTATTGTTGAAGTTATTATGGGTCCCCAATATTACACATTTTGTCTAATCTATATGAGAGACCTGTTATTCTGTGGGTTGTCTGCTGCTTTAAATATCCATCATGTTCTGATAAATTCAAGACTTTTAAGAAGTAGCAATGTAACAGATAAATAACATCATCTAAGTATATTAGAATCCAGTAACAGTTGATGCAGAACCAAATTATTTCATGTTGGAATTGAAAACAAAATAATGCTCTGGGTTTAAATACTGAAGACAGGAGGAAAAAATTCTAAACTTGGATCAATAGAACGTGGGCTGAATTATATGACGAGGAAGTTCTCGAATTTATTTTCCTCCCGAATTTTTTTTTAAAAAAAAACAAAAACCAACCACAATAGATTGAATTGGGAATGAGTGTCTGGAGTTGCATCGTCTCCCTTTCCTTGTTTATCTGCTCAGCACTGTCACCTTCCTACAAACTGTTTGTCCTTCTGAAGTGGAAAGTATACAGGATCACACTTGTAGGTCAGCTCTGGGACCAAAGAGTTTATCATATGCTGGGATCTTTTGAGGCAAAGTTTTGCCTCTCAACCAAAGCACCATGTCTGCATGACAGCTGAGTTTTATACTTGCAAGATTTTTAATGTAGACTATAGTAGGATGGTTAGTTTTCAAATGGTGAGGGCAGAAATCCTGGTACTCCTAAATGAATATTTGCTCACATCTAAAGAAAAAATAATTAAGGTGGCAGTTTGGAAATAGAAAAAAACATTATACACAGGGAATACATTCTGGGATAGAAAAGAATTTCCAATCTCTATAGATATAAAATGCTGCTGAAGTATACCTTTATAATGTTTTTCCAAGTTCTGGTTGACTTGATGGTGCCACATATTTAAAAAAAAACCAGTCCAGAAAGGCAAAATAATTTTGGTGTCACAACCACTGATTTTCCAGCCAAGGAAAAAAATCTGTCGTGGTAGCTTTCTGCATAGAGAGAGAGAGAAAAAAATGGCTACTAGTCATAAGGGTTTAATACTATAGTCAGTGTGCTGACTTTTGCAGATTTTATTAGTCACAGATTTGATTAAACTTTCTCTTTGGGTATCCATGTCCTCCAGTTTATGGATAACTGTTAAAGAAGAATCTAGATCACACCTGCACAAGCTGTGGCCCTCCAGGTGTTTTGAACTTCAGCTCCCAGAATTCATGACTATTGGACAAGCTGACTAAGGCTTCTGGAGTTAGAGTCCCAAACACCTGGAGGGCCACAGGATGTGCATGCCTGATCCAGAGATTCCTAGAGAGAACATCTCTTTAGGAATCAAGGTCCTCCAATGTGATTCTATGGTAGGCTTCCACAGAATCACATTGGAAGACCTAGGAATTACTACAGAGGTGTCCTCCCAGAAAAAAAAGGAAAACTTTGTGTGTGTGGTTTTTGTTTTGTTTTGTTTTTGTTTGTTTTTTTGTTTGTTTTTTTTTTTCTTTCACAGAGGTCCTGTGCTAACCCTAGCAAATATTAAGGGCTGACCATACTTCCAGGATCAGAGACAGCAAAGTTCAGAATACCATTTGCAAGAAAATAATAGTACTAGAGTGCCATTTCCTTTTTTGTCCTACCTGTGGACTTCTCAAAAGTATTTGGCTAGTCACGTTGGGATGCTGAACTTGATAGCACTTTGGTTTGGTGATTCCTGTGCAATAAATCCAAATGCAGACGAGGCCTTCCAAATTGTAGAGGTCACTATTGAATCTAGTCCTTACGCTGTGCTCTTATGCAGGCATATTTGGAAGTCAGCTCTGTTAAGGAAAATGTAAATTTCTGAATAAACATGCTCAAGATGCAGTGCATGTTTAAAATGTTGACACTAAAGCAGTGCTGTACAATTCACAAAAGCCTTTTAGAATTGTTTCATATACAGATAGACTTCATGAGTTTATTGTGCTGGCCTAACGCCACGACAAACAGAATGGTTAAATACAATAATTTTCTTTATTAATTTAACACCACTGGTTAAAATTCATTAGGAATACAAAAGTAATATGTCTTGGAAATTTAGAAACTACGAAATGAATATATGACTTGGCATTAATTATATTTTAAAGGGAAGGAACCCTATTCTATTGTGGGTTTCTACTAGTGAAAGAGGAAGAGCTGCTTTAATGACTGCCACCAGGCTATTTCTTTTGCTGGTCCAAAGAATCGATAACCTTCACAAAGTTGGGAGGGAAAATGTTAAAATGGCCCTTCCCCCATCTACTCCCATTGGATAGACTTCCTCACAAAGGAACGTCAAGTAGAGCCCTTTTTTGCAAGAGCTAGGATGGTCAAAGTGCAACTCTACAAGTCCCCCTTTGAACTGTAACTCCCAGGATTCCTCATTACTGTCTCTGCTATCTGGTGCTGTTGGGAAATGCAGTTGAACAAATTCTGGAGTGCTATATAGTTAATCGCTCTGTAATAAGAGCAACTGCTTTCCTTTATGGTGAAAATGCCCAAACAGTGGATTGTCTGAGTGCAATAAGATAAAACAAGAACAAAAGGCAACAGTCATGTTAGTTCAGGAATGGCCGACTTTGGATTGGCTTTTTTTGTCCCCTTCACCAAATATAGCGCTACTTAGAATGAAAATATTCCTAGTTATGACTGGCCATATTAGAATGATACCATATGCAGACTTAAAAAAAAAATATCTGAGTGGCTATCAGGCATCACAATTGCCATGCCAACTTCACTGGAGAAGTAAGTGATTTCTGATCTTCTGATTAGATTGATTTGTGACTTGACCTTGGATAAAATTCTGACATTGGCAGGAGCAAGGTTTTTCTTCAATAAGTTGACTAAATTGCTTTAGAAGGGGGAATTTGCTTGAAAGATTCTGAGCTTGGGCCCCACTGGAGGTTAAAGAAGAAGCTGTTAACACAGCAGACAGATGAAAGAGAAAGCAATAATAATGATTAGCTTCATTATTGCTCTGCTCTTTGATTGAGGGCATCAGTCAAACTTGGTTAGTAAAAGGTGATGGCTGAATTGCATTTTCATAGCAACTGCAGCAGTAATTTGGTGGTGTGTATAGTAATGTGCCTCCTGTGGCTTATTCTCCTTTCAAGTAAGCAAGCTGCGGTCTTTGTTGAGGAGAAAAATGCTTTTCTATTTTCAGCCACCCAAGGTGCACAAAATTCAGCACTCGGCTAAAAGTTACCACCTGGTGAAGTTCATAGGATCTGTCTGCCAGAATAGAAACAAATTAGTCCTCTTCTTTCAATTCCCTCTTGCCCATGTCTACCAAAGCGGAGGCTGAAATTAGCGCCACAGAGGAGAAGGATACCCCTTGATACAATCAATCGTATTTTTCAATAGTGATGGATGTATCAGGAATCTATTCTTACCTTTATTTTACTCTCAAAGACAATAAATCCTTAGATTTTGGTATCCTAAAGGGGGGATAGATTTAAAAAAAATGCTTGAACCAAGTACCAAGTTACAAACATATCTTTTTTTTATTTGGCTCATTACTGTCCAACAGTACTATTAAATGATGAATGTTTCAGCAAGCCTCTCTAGGTCTCATTATGATTGGGAAAACGTTCAGAAAGGTCAACATGGAAACAACAACAGGTTTTGCAATTATTTTCCTGGCCATTATTATTTAGCAGAGAGACAAACACATTTAAAAACTTCAATTTTTAATGGAAACAAAACAACAGACATTGCAATTATTTTTCTGACCATTGTTGAGCAAGATACAAACACATTTAAAAATTAAACTTTAAATTGTGACTTTTTTCAATGTACATGTGAACGTATGAATTTCTGAACATATGCAATATATACCGTGGATCCAACTGGATAAAATGTGATGAAATTTTTCTACATTAAATATGGATTTTTGAAAAAAATGTCATGTTTTACTTCTAGGACAAATACAGTTCACATTGATTAGCTTTATATAAGCATGACAAACTTGTGTGAATTCTTTAGAGTCCTCTCTGCGCCCACTTGTTAGCAAAAACTATGTGAGGGAGAGAAACCACCTGAAAAACTAGAATTATTTAATTTCTTTTTGTCTCTTTTTGTCTTACTTTCTTAATTTCACATTTGTAATTCCTTATGCTGTTTGTTGTATTTGAAAAATGTTCAGATCTGGTCACTGGGTTGCATCTGGAAGAACATAATGAGTAAATTCTCATACTTGCATCCCTGCTGTTGTGCAAGAGCGGGAAAAGGACTTTGCACAACATGGATTTGTGAAGATAGGAAGCTGCCTCACACAAAATCTGACCTTTAAAAAAATTGGGAAGTGACTTCTAGCATGACTTCTTGTTATAAAAAAGTGGGGAGGGCTGGGCGTAAAAGTTCTCTAGGGGTACTAAAAACATGGGGAACATGCTTTATGGGTCCAACTGATCCAGCATATGCCAGCTCTGACTGGCTCTCCGTGGTTTTAGATAAAATTATTGGCTCTCCATATTCTTAGTGTTCTCTAAGTAGTAATCACATTATTTGAAATGTTCATGAGATGGTGCAATGGCTATTACCAGAAAACTGAACAAACGATTTTACAACTGGTACCAACACACATCTTAAGCCATTACAACATTTTCAGGTCACTTCCGAATTTCCCCTTTTCTCATGCAAGTATCTCATCTCAAGTCAAGAAAAGTACTCCTTGCAAAAAGAGCTGTCCATTTGCGAAAAGGACAATTTTTCTGTCCCGTGTTTCCTTTTCTCTATCTGAATATTTTCTAAAATAGAGAACTAAGCCAACTTTTAAGATTAACTCTTACATCAGATATTTCTTGTTGGTCTTTTCCAGGTTAAAATAGATTGAACCAAACTTTTAAGAAGTAGACTGCCAAGTTGAGAGATATCTCCCAAGAGCACTAACTTGGCTAAAAAGGATGTCCATGTTTTATCTATTACCTATATATCATAATGAATTTCCTCCCCAGGTTGTTTATTTGCTTCCCATGTAAAAAAAAAACCCCAACAATTTCATAGGTGTTTCATCTGTATTACTTCTCTGCTTTCCATCTGCCTTCTTTTATTCATGTTTTTATTACCCCAGAGCGTTTCTCGAGAATATGACCTTGATTGCGGTATGTGCCTCTGACTCTGGGTTTGCATTTTTGATTAAGATTTCTGGCTTCCCCAAGGCCAGAACTTTGTGTGCAGTTATAATTAGCATTTGTAAGAGCATCCGAGACAAAAGTAAAAAATCCCACTGTAGGTGAATGGCTGGTTGCTCAGAGGTTTGGGGGAGAACATAATAAAAATAAGTATTTCATCGCTTCCATTTTCTGTGTAATTAGAATAATTTGCATAGGTCTTGAGCCATGTAGTTTTTGTATTGGCAAAGAATCAGCACAAAACTGTGGACAAAACCCACTGAAATAAATGTTAATGGACCTGTTTAAGGCAACACACATATGCCATACATCCATTGATTCAAAAGTGGGTAATGTGTGTCCCTCCAGATATTATTCCACTGCAATTTCCATACGCTACAGCCAGTAATTGCGAGTTGCAGTGAAACATCTGGAAGACTGCACTTTGCCACCTTGAAATAAAAAAGTGAGGTCAATAGCTTTTTAATGACCTGAATGAGTAGGTAATTAAAAATGAAGTATCACTTGGATATTAAAAACTATGGACAACAACCAAAAACCAGATGTGCACACCTAAAAAGCACAATATCTTTCCAAATAAATCTAAAAGGGATAACACAAATACTGCATGTTGTTATACTTCACATCATTTCCAATTTACAGTGGCCCCACCACGGGGGTTTCCTTCTCATGATTTGTTCAGAAGAGGTTTACCAATGTCTTCCTTTGAGGCTGACAGTGTGGCTTACACAACGTCACCCAGTGGGTTTCCATGGCTGAGTGGGATTTCAAACCCTGGTCTCCAGAGTCATAGTCCAACATTCAAATCATGCTGATTCTAACACAAGTTTACTTTCTACACTTATACATAGTGCCAAAACAAGGAAACAGGATTCACAGTAGCTGTAGTGAACTTAGTGGTATGAACATTGATGTGTCATATGCTGTTGGGCAGTGCAGAGAAAAAAACAAGTCACACCTTGAATAGTATGATTCATTGTGGAATTTGTGTAAATCCACATAGTTCAGAAATGAGTTGGTAAATCCATTTCAGCTGAAAGTTACTATTGGATTCTGTTCAAGAATCTTTCAAGACATCAAGCTTAGGCTGAGCAGTAACACTTTAACTTGTACAGAAAATTGAATGGAGAGCTAGACTCTGTTAGGCTTTTAAATAGAATGCAGTTAATTCTTAGAAATATGCTATATCTGTAGAATAATGCCAATTAAATACACATTTATGAACTCAAGCAGTTATTGTCTTCTCACTGTTATAAACAATGAACCAATATGTTCCCCTTTATGACAAAAAATATTTCTGAAAAGAATCAGTGTGCCAAGTATGCATATTATAACAGAACTGTATGTTACAGATTTGGAGGCAAATTGTCCTGACGGGTCTCATAACAAAGCCTTGATGGAGTGTCCCGCTTCAACGAGAAAGGAGAGGGGCAGCGAGGCGAATCTGTCACCCTGCCAGCAAGGCCCCATCCTGACTCTCTTGGAGCCAGCATAACATGGGAACTCTCCTGTGTTGGGAAAGTGTCCAGCGACACTTTCACCTCAGATTGATGCAGGGCCTCTGCTAGAAGCCACACAATATTGTGTAATAGCCAGTGTTGTTCTGTCCATTAGATGGGCTAGGATGCTAAACTCCCCTCGTGTGATGGGTTCAAGGTTATGCAGGTTCTGAAACACAGCTTACATTTTCCATGATGCACATCTTTTCCACATGCACACCACAGGTCTAGTGACTTTGGAAAAATGTGAGATCAGGTTTGGTTGTTATCAAGCACGTTATCTTCCAGAGCCATGCTTCACAGCAGGGATTCTAGCAAATAAAGGGATTTTGGCTCAGACATCTAACTGTAATCCTGGTCTTTCAAATTCCTAGTCCAGTACTCAAAACCATTATGCCACATAGGCTGTTTACGGCCTAAATTTATATGGGCTAGATTTATTTTGTTACAAAGTGTGCCAGTACCTCCAGGCAGACATCATGCATATATGTTTGAACTGAAGCTCATGTGAGAACTATCAAGTGGTGAGAAATGATAGGTATTGGCAGGTCAACATCCAGAGAGCCATATACTGCCTGCTCCTGATGTATCTAGTTGTTTTTTGCCTGAGAAGTAGGACTGAAGTGTGGGATTAAAGTACAAAATATATTGTCTGCCAATGACTTTAAAGTCTATATGAAAATGTATGTATACGGTGCCCAGTTGCAAAATTTCTGGTAACACAAACATTTTGACTTGAGCAAATTTGTTAGCAAGGATAGTGGGAGACTCGATTCTGACCACAGCTGCTAGGTTTGAATCTATTTATTAATCATAGCATGATATATGTAAAGGCTATTGGACTCAATGAATTTGACCCCAGGTAGCCAGTGTAGCATTGCAATCAATTATTTTAGTATAGATTTAGTGTTAGATTTTATTGGAATACAGTTGTAGTCTTAGTTATACTTTTGGTAGGTAACTCACTGAAATCAGTGGGATGTGTACCTGATTAGACAAGTAAAGGACTCTGCTGATACTCACCTTGATCCCATCCATGTTAAAGTGCTATCTAGCATGAAATGTTTCTGCCTACTGATATTTCACTAACGCGGACTCTTATGTTTAATATGTCAGGGTGGATGGTTTTGGATAATATGATGAGTTTATCAATTAGGTTTAGTAATGTGATCAGAAGATTAATTGCTAGCCACTTGCCCCATTCCATTTAAACATCCAGTTTTATATCATTTTAATTGTCTATTTCATTCTATTAAGGGACATTTCCTCCCAATCCTTTGATTCTGAGAATCTGGAAACATAATCCAACTTCCATCTTGATATTGTGGCATACTCTATTAATTCCGATCTCATAGTTAGGCAGTATATTTTAATTGCATTAAATGAATAGTGCCCTTGCGCTGCTGATCTGGAAAAAACTTTCTGCATTCAAGGTCATGTGGGAAGATTTACATTAATATAAGCTCCACCCTTCAAGGTGATAAACAGAGGTATACAGTAATTGCATTAATGTGGCTAAAAATAATTTTGGAAATGGAGAAGTCACACCAGACAAGTCATTCAAGGCGACTGTGCCCTGATTAGCATTATAAATCCATTCTCAGATCACATTCTGTAAAATTCCAGTAGAAACTATGGCTGAAAGCAATGAAACGCAGCAAGAGTTTCCCTATTTTATACATTTGGGCAAGTAAATACTCACACAATGATGCTTGTTTTGTGTCTTTGTATATGTTCATTATAACAGGCCATGATTGTGCACAGCTTTAGGCTCATGATTCAATAGGTGTGAATCTATTAGGTATAGCAGAGGTACAACTTTTTAAAAGAAAAATAGCATGGCCGAAAACATTATTTTAAATAATTACTGATCACAGCAGGATACAACGGAACTTTTATAAACCTTAGTGTTCCTGTCTTTGTGAAATATTTGTATGGGTAAAATGATGCCATGTTATTTTCTGGTTCCCATTCCTTAGTCAAGATGTGCCTCTAGAGAATAATCATGATCATGATATACTGCAAATGAAGCCATTTTCCAAAACAAGGAAACAGCAGGATATAGTAATTTTGAAATAGATGCACTTGTCTCCTTGGGAACAATACTGCCCCAATCTCCACAGCCTTCTGCTTTGCCCTTCTTTTACTTACACTTTCTTGATATATACTTTGAGCTACTAAAAAGAACTGGCTTTTAAAATAGAATTTGGCTGTAACATGAGATGATTGTTTAATGTCACCTTCCATTAATTTTCATATGACTTCAGTTCA